TTGAATTTTTGAACGACTTCTAGCTGATCCCCACCAACGGTCAGCAAAGGAGGCGGTCCAGACCAATCTTGGAGGAACGCTTTGCACTTCGAGGGTGCGAAGCAAAGCCCGAAGTGACGGACAGCTAGTGCTAATCTGTCCGGTGCCGCTTGGCACGTCTGGGAGCTGTCACAGATTAGGGCAATATCATCAGCATACTCCAAGTCAAGAAGTCGTTCTCCTGGGAGCAGATCCACACCTTCTAAGTCGTGTCCTGTAAACGCGATTTCCATGACTTCGTCAACAGCGAAGTTAAAGAGGAAAGGTGACAGCGGGCATCCTTGTCTCACATCGCTGGAGATAATAAAGGGCGACGACAACTTGCCGTAAGCCCTCACTCTGCCCGAGCTACGCGCATATAATGCTCGGATAATATTTACATATTTCTCAGGTACACCTTTCCTGAGTAGACAGTCCCAAAGTGCATGTCTATCTACAGAATCCAATGCACCTTTGATATCGAGGAACACGACGACGGTGGGTCGCCAATATATGTGAAGGTGCTCCAACAACCGACGCAAGTTGAAGATGTGGTCAATGCAGCCACGACCGCGAGGAAACCCGGCTTGCTCTTCACGAATCTGGCTTTCACGTGTGCCAGTCAGTCTGTGAAGGATGACAGAGACAAGCAATTTGGAGGCGATGGAGATCAGACTGATTCCTCTATGGCTGCCGCATTCCGATCGTGAGCCTCCTTTAAAAATTGGGACTATGATGGAGCGGCTCCAGTCGGTTGGGACAGTTTCCTGCTCCCATAGTTTAACTAGCAATTCGTGTAAATTATCCACAAGAGCAGATCCCCCGAATTTGAAGAGGGCTGGAGGAAGGTCATCAGGTCCCGCGGCTTTATTTAACAGTCCGATCTCACGTTCGACTTCTGAGCGAGAGGGTGGATCTAAAGGGACAGCTCACGGAGCGGGGCGATCATTGGCCGGAGAGAAATTTAACAGTTCCGACCGATTAAATTGCCTTTCAAAGTGCTCAGCCCAACGCTCCAAGCGTTTTGACAAGTTGTGGATAGGCTGTTCACTCTCGTCACGTGTAGTTTCACTAAAACAAGGTCTCCTGCTGCCCGTTTCCCGTATCAGACGGAATAACTTACGATGGTTACCAAGGGCAGCGGCCATTTCCATTTCTGATGCACGATGAGACCACCAAGATTCGCGGTCTGTCTTCAGGCTAGCAAGGAGTTTTGCCCGGAGCTGTTTGCGAGTTTCATTGTATTCGCTTCCAGCCGGAATATGTCGGCGAGCATCTATAAGTTCCAGAGACTGTGAAGAGACCCAATGTCCATGTTGGGGATTAGACATACCACATGAGGGTTTTCCTGCTGCAAGTAAGGACTGGTGGATATGAGACCAGTGAGGTTCAACTGCATCCAGTGAGCGTTTATCCAACTCGCATGACAGCGTACTTTGATAGGCATTCAGAACAGCTGGCTTCGCCAGTTGACTGGTGTCAGTGCGCTCACGTCGTCTTAGGCGTCCGCCAAAGCGCATCCGCAGGTCAGCACATACAAGTGCATGATCGGTGTCTACACCTGTGCTTCAATCCGAGCGACAGTTCTGGATGCAGCCTCTCCAGCGGTAACTGACTGTAATGTGATCGATTTGCGTCCGAGGCTGGTGGGCGCCAAGTCAACCTCCGGTGGGTGCTGTGTCGGAAATTAGTGCTCGCAAGAAGTAAGCGAGCATCCTCATACAAATGAAGTAACCGCTCACCGTTATCCTTACGGGAGCCTACACCATGTTGGCCGTCTAGATGCAGCTCATCAGTGGATGATTTTCCAACTTGAGTGTTCAGATCCCCGGCCAGCACTACAGTGCCCGAGCTTCTTCTGTGGCTCAGGAGCTCGTTCAGTTGACGATAGAAGTCGTTTTTTACCGAGTCATCGCTACAGTTTGTCGGTGCATAGGCAGCGATAACGAATAGACACCTGTTAGTCCCACGCGACTTCGAAGCTTTGAACGATCCAGCCAATCGGACCGCACATATCCGGCTACTGATTGGAATCCAATCAACCAGAGCAGTTTAGCCTGGGGACTCAGGGCAATACCAACACCGGCTTGGCCGGTGCTCGAAGCTGCATCGCCACCGGATAGGCGCAATAAGAAAGTGCTGTTACTGCCACCTGAAGGGGATTGCAGAGTGAGCACTGAGGTCGAGTCTTGCAGGCGAGTCTCCGATAAGCAGCAGATATCGATCGAGAGGGTCTCTAATGTTCGGACAAGTACTGCCTGTTGACCGATTTGTAGCGGTGTGCGTACATTGAGGCATGCCAATCTGAAGGAGGATCGAGGGCTCCAAATGGAAGCCGATGAACTGGGCTTGACCGCTTGATTGGACATGGGACTGTTGACAGGTCAGGAATGACGCTCTGCGTTCACATGTGATTTGAAACTAAGAGACAAGCGACTATTGAAGCAAGGTGGGAGAGGGCCGAGAATTGGGGGGTTGAAAACAGGGGGGTAAAAGTGAAGCTGGAGCGGGACAATAAGGGTGAAAAAGCGTAAGAGGAGGAATAGTAAGACGGGAAGGCTTGAACAGTAGCATCCAAACCCCTATCCACCCTGCTCGATGCAGCAGATAGGGCCCCGTTGATTATCCTCTGCGGTGGCCAGAGCATCAGAAATTTGTTTGAAGTGCGATTCATTGTATTGCGTGGGCAGGATACTGTCAGGTTGCCCAGGCCTAGACAGGAGAACGATTAGGGTTCTCAACCAAAGCCTTTGGTTCAAAAACCTGTCCGCAAGGCAGCGGATTTGGCATTGGGCTACAAGGAGTCCGTTTTAAGGAATAAAGAGCCACCCTCATTCCAACCCCCATCTGGAGAAACAGAATGCTGAGTTTGTCTGGCCTCTAACCATTGACCAATCTGCTATGAGTGACTCTAAAGTTGCAAAAAAGCACCACCCAGCATAGCTCAATGGATTGTTGAGGCACACGAACCATCGCACCACGGTAAGATCCAGCCTCATTGCGATGGAACGAACCAAGCCACTCAAGTAAAACGTTGCAACCTACTCATAACATGCACCGAGTTAATTGGAATACATTTAAGGAACTTATCTGCACTATGAATTGGGAGCCATCATTCTGGACCAACAAACACACTATGGATGTCGGTGAATATGTAAACGACGTTGTTGCGTGTACTGATGTACGGACACTTGTGGTAAGGAGCCGCACCTATATGCAATGCGACATAAATACCCAACTGAGCAATGCCGAAAGCGGCTTCCAGTTCCGGAATGACACCATTTACAGTAATTCCTTGTATGAGGATGCTAGGAAGCGTAAGGCATTAGTACTGCGAAACAACGACCTATCGGTCCCATTACCGGAAAATAAAAAGGGTCCCGTGATTCTTTGACCAGTTAATTCAGCCCATACCATGAACATTACCCCATGTTGTGTACGTGAAGCGCTGCATCGGCGTGGATTACAAGTTGTCCAAAATTGTTGCTTCTCTGCACCGTGCAAACGGAAAACAGCCTCATCGGTAAAAGGATTTGAATGGATATCCATGCCATTCAAAATCCTGCGTCAAAATCAAGCCGCTTCTCCAAATCACATGGGTTTAAAACCTGCACTTGTCAGGCGCTATACTCCTAGCATTTTCTCCCCTTCACTATCCTATGGACAGCATATCTAGTGATGTCGCCATGCTGGGCGAGTTTACGAATTCTCAGATCGCAGTTTCTGGATACCTCACGAATAACCACACAAGCGGAAAAGTCATCCGTGGTGATGCGAGGCAACCCTGTTTTTTTGGCGTCGCAAACGCTCTCAGTTTTCTCAAATTTTCTCACCTGCACTCACCATACAGACGAAAAATAAGCACTCGCTGATTAACAGGCACGTAACACGATTCGGATTAAAGGTAACTTGGTGACGGCGGTATATGGTCGTGATCCATCGCCCAGCCAGTGATCCGAGAAACAAATGGCAAGCATTTCACCACCGCTATACATAGGCTGACTGCTGTGTAAGTGTGTGCTTAGTTTGACCTGCCCTGCTCCACACTGGTGAGGTTAGCGTTCGTTGACCTCACACTGACCTCCGTTAGTCGTTTGCCTTTCAGTCCGCAGTCGTATCGGAGTCAGGTTATCGTGTGCTTTGGATAATGAGTTCGACTGAGTCTCCGCACCACAGTGGCCAGCTAACGATGCAGTTTGCAGTCGAGTCGCCACTTTACATGCGGCCTGACAAAAGGGGCAGAGACAACTGTGACACAGCCTACGCGCAGTCTCATAGACGCTTTCGCTGTTACACAGCATGTCGATTGGACGGGTTCAGTTTAGACAGAACGCGCCGGGTTACCTTCGGACGCTTATGAATGTAACAAACAGGGATGCCGCTGAACCTATACTCGCAGACTGCCGATATATATATATATATATATATATATATATATATATATATATATATATGCTGTCATTCAGCGGTCGCCACGAAGTGTCCCGAACATGAGCCTATGACACAGCAGTGGGTATACTACCTAGCCATCGCTAGCATCAGCGCACCGTAGGCTTCCATTCTAATAAACAACACAGGAAACAAAGGGGTAAATTAACACTCCAGCGTACAGAGTGGTGCGCGTCTAGATCGAAAAGAATCGCGCATGATAACCCAGTGAAAGTAACGGAAACAAGGCAGAAAACACATTAACTAAAACTACAGAGGTGGAGTTGGAAGTGCAAATGACGCTTGCGTTAGTGCACGAGATGGATCATCAACGAAGTAATAACTTAAGTTCGCAAATATATAAACGGGTGTTGAATTCAGTTGCCCAAATAGCAAGGATTAAAGGCTAATCATGTCGTACAATCACAAAGACCAAGTTGGCAATATTTTAAGAAGGTTTCAACACAGAATTATAGATTTACAACCTCTACAAGGAGATTGAGCGTTCCTGGGCAGAAATTGTGGCGGTAAATACACAGTATTAAGTAGCTTACCGGGCTATTGATAAAACATACTGTCACCGCTCCAGCAAAGGGAACCTTTGAGATCAGTGGCTTCATAACGGTCCGAAGGGTTCCCCGCAGCTGTTGATGACGAGAACAGATAGGTATGATGGTGAACAAGTCGTGTTAGTATGCCAATAGTGAAGATTTCCAGATATACAGAACAAAATGCTTCTTAAAGGATACACTCTCCAATATTTCGCTTAGTGATGCTCACGATAAAGTAAAATGTAACAGGATTTAACAGCCTGTCTATGGAAAGACGGATCATTATTGAACCACTTGCACATGCTTAGATGAAATAGTTGTTAGATAAGAGAGCGTACACTGTCGCAAACCTGGTGCATAACATTATGTAGCATCAGTTACGCAAACAAGGCCTACTCATAATGGGAAAAGTTGACACCTCGACTAAAGAGCTAAACGCCGAGGAGGTAGGTGGGAATAAAATGTACGTCATGCAGTCTTGCAGTACGTACCGTAAGCTAAAAATATAACTAAGAAAACATGAGAATCAGACAGAGAATTAGGTCAATGTTAAAGATGCAATCCAAAAATACGGAAACGTTCCAAATAGTAACACCGCACAGAAGCCCAGATCAAGCGATAATACATACATCAACCAACAGTATTAACGACTAGCACAGATGTGTGCTGCCTTATTTGAGTGGAAAGAGCATGAAGACAATGCATGCGCCCTTCGGAAGGGTGAAATATAACCCAGGCTGTATAAATCAATGATAACTAAAGAGATCAGAACTTAGAGGTGCATGTAAAAATATCATGTCTAGTAGCCAGTTAATCAGTACTCAGGGCAAGGTGTAAAATGTCCTAGGTGACTACAACAAAAATATGCAAGCAGAACAGTGAAATTGAAATGATGGTGTTAAAATAATGGCAAAAGCATGCTCATGAAACAAACACACCAATAACCAATAGGTCCCACAGTTTATTTTCAAAATGCAAAAATAGTGACATGCCGGGAATGCAGACTAGTTTGAGACAAACCGCTCAAATTAAAATAAACTAACCGAGACAGAGATGGGAAGATTGATCCCATAAGAGCTGTTAGTGAAATAAATTCGAGTAAATCGACCGCCAATTCGCGATAGCAAGGATTTGCTGCCATAATATGAACCAGACCAACTTCTAAAGTTATATAACATACTAACCTCGAATTCTTTAATACCAGCCTTGATTTTCCCCAGTTGAACCTTTATTCTGGCATCACTGTAGAGCCTACAGGAAGTAAACCAAACCAAAGAGCTCACATTAAATCAAGATCCAGGACGATTTCATCCCGACCGATGTCCTCGTCCATATAAACCTTTACACCACCAACGCGTGGTGGCTAAACATAATATAACAAGTGACTGAATTACAGTATCTCCAAGATCGATGGTAGAAAAAGAGAAGGGTTTCAGTGCCGAAGGAAGTTGTGCAGCGATGGCTGGTGCGACGTTATTGATAATCATGTCCTTTGCATATATGCTTATATATGGCCAAAGCCGCTTTATAACCTGAAAATAGTCAAAGAAAGCAATGGGTACCTTGTTGAACCATTCGGCACGCTCAACATCCGGAAAATGAACCTATGAAGCTAAAAAAAACCAGGTCTACTTTAAACCTTACCCAAGACGGTAAATCCTCGGCCGAAAAATTCTGCAGTATAACTTCTTTTTCATTCTCTCCAATAGCCTTCAGGGCACTGGTTAGTTCGGTTCTTCTTTTTCTGACTACTTGTACACAAAAATATCCAAAGGTACCAAGTGCGACCCAAGTAGCACTCATACGCATATAACCCAGACCCCATAATGACAAACAAGAGGTAAAAAGCTTTAGATAGGTGACAGTATGCGACCACAAAGTGTCACTAGAAGAACCGCGGGCCATCGACAATTGGCAAAGCACTCTAGCTCAATTGCGTGCCAAGGTCGCTTGGATAAGGAGAAATGACCCATTTGATATCGAGCAGCGACTGTATAAAACCCATGTAAAGAAAAATTAAACAGTAAAGAAAAGTACAAAGTTTATCAATCATGTTAACTCTTAGTTTATTTGTATATTGGTTAGACCTTATTATATTTTGTGACACCGAGCAATGCATGTTAGAAACAAAAGAGCGAAAAAGATTGTGATAAATACTTGTAAAAACTTAAGGCCAATTATTAGAAAGATAACTTATTACTACATTGATAATAAGTTGGATATCCTATCATAGTATTCATGGTAAACTTATCCTATCCCTCCATTTCATAGACTACAAAGATGATTCATAACAAATCCTGCTCGTGATACCTTTGGCTTCGGTATTCAGTGAGAAGTATAGCCTGACTAGCGTGCGGTCTATGTGTGTATCTAGGCACCTTGTGAAAGCCTACTTGCTTTTATCCCTTCTACGGCCCTTAAGCCTCATTCTTTTAAAGGACGCTAACCGCCGGTATGTCATGTGAATATTAGCGGTTTCGTCATGACCACTAAGAAAGTATTCAGCAGGTTGGACCAGCAAGTCACCGTAAGTGAGCGGAAGAACAATACTAACTCTGTCATGATAAATGCCCATTGAAACTTTGTAGCAGACGTAGGATCATTATCCGCAACATGACTTAACTTTCCAACGTGGAAGTGCATTTAAATCGGCCAGGACCCTTTTACTGCATCATCAGTTCAGTTCAGTTCAGTTCAAATAGGACTGGAACGATAGGAAAATCTCGTAAGTGTTCCATCTTGAGTGGATCATTGAGCCAGGAATCGATGAATTGCTCAGTTATCGATGGATCTAAAACAGAACACCCGTGTCGCACCATGGCCAACCATTTAATGACCACGTATCCTTCCCTAGCAGTCCTTGCTCTGGCATTCACGTGAAGTAACCAAAGGATAGAAAGAGAAATCGAAGGTACAGAATAAGGAAGTGCACTTAAATAAGAAAATAATACCAATGCATTAAGAAAAGTAGAGAAAAGGAACTCGAGTTACGAAGATGCGAGTTAGTCAGGAAAAGCGAAAGATTTCGTGTTGCCACCCAAGAACGTCAAGTTGCCCCTCAAACCCCTAAACCGTAGACTCCCTGATAACACTTTCCGGAAATGTGTTCCAGCCGTCGATAACTCGGCGTTACGGCCGCATTTCCGCCCTAATCCGATCGGACCGCGGTTTGTCCAGCTTCAAGGAATGACCGCGTAGAACAGACAATCTAGCGGGACTAAATAGCCAAGATAAATCTGGACCAACCTTCTTAGTTAAGATACGGTAGGTTGGGATTAGGTCTCCTCTGAGCCTTCGGTAGTGCATTGAATGCATTCCCAAACTAAGTAGACGCTCGGGGTACGTCCGTCCCCTTAATCCCTAGACTAACCTAGTACCCACTCGTAAAACCCTCTCTGGCTCTCTTTTGTCCCGGACGAGGCAGGGCGGACAAGCCTGAACGCAGTATTCCAGCTGAGGCCGAACGAAAGCCGAGAACAGCCTCGTAAAGATGCCGCCCGTCAAAACTCCGAAGGAACGTCGAATTAACCACAACATGCGGAAACCTCCGTTTGCGGCCTTCTTCAAGTTGTCGCCGGAGTGTAAAACCGAAGCGTGTACGACTCCTAGGTCAAGCTGGCTGGATACATGAGGTAGTGCGACCCTACCGACTAAGTACTTCGTAAGAGGACAACCTCCTCCAATTCGAAGAACGGAGCACTTTGCTTGGTTTATGGGCAGTAACCACAAAGTAGACCAGTCCCAAAGATTATCCAAGGCTCGCTGAATAGCTTCGGAAGCCCCAGGTACATCGACAATGTTCCACAGCTTCAGCTCATCAGCAAATAGCAGCGATGGTACCTCAAGCTCTGCGGGTAGGTCAATCACATAAATAGAGAACAGCATCCGTCCAAGGCCCGAGCTCTGCGGCACGCCGCTGAGGCCAGACGTCCTAAACAATAGGCCCCGGCCTACCCGTACACACTGTTCTCCACCCCGCAAGAAGGCAGTCACCCAATGACGGGCGCGGCCAGATACCCCCTAGGAGGACAGCTTTTGCGCGAGCCTCAAATTGGGTACCCCTCAAATGCCTTCGAAAAGTCGACGAAAATCAAGTCTAGTGCGTGACCATTATCCAACTTTCGCGAGCCACCAGTAGATTCGTCAGCTACGAAAATCCCTTCTGGAATCCGGGTTGTACATTGTTAAGTAGATTAAATATACGCGGATGACGCTCCAATGAATGTCTCACCAGTTTCTCGAGGAGTTTGACTACTACACCAGTCAGACTAACTGGCCTGTAATTTGCAGGCAGACCCCTGCCCACATTTTTGAAGGTGGGACAGATGACAGCTTCCTTCCTTTCGGAAGGCAATGCACAGCTGTCAAGCGATTTCTCAAACACAATAGTGAGCGGTCCACTTAGTTCCACAGCCAACTCATGCAACAGTTTCTGGTGAATTAAATCAGGCCCAGAGGCCTTAGAAGGGTTCAGCCCATGTAACAGCCTACGAACTTCCGTCTCCGCTACAATAAATTCAGACACTCCTGAACCCTCTGATGTCCTGCAAACCAGTTCAACGCTTGTCAGAAAGGTTTCCTTTACAAGCGCTGCCGCATATTGCCCACTGAGTACGCAGGCCTTTTCATAGTCCGTATGCGCATGAGTGCCGTCATTACGCATCAATACTGGAATTGACATGTTCGAAGCGCAGCGCCTTTTGACATAAGCGAAGACGCTTTGTGGATTCTCTGAAGCTTCGTCCGCTAACCCTTTCTCGAAATTAAGCCGAGCATCCCTTAGATGTTGCTTACACCTATTTCTAGCCTTACGGTACCTGTCATAAGTGTCGGTAGACGGAGCATCTCGGTAAGTCCGCCAACATCTAGACCTGTTTGTGAGCAGATGCCTGCCAGTGGGATCTATCCAGGGCGGCTGTGCTCGTGCTTCCTTTCTCCTTGTGACTGGGATGAAGGGAGCAGAGACCTCTGTGAGGTAGGACTTTGATTTATCCCAGGCGACCTCGACAGTATCGTCGTCTGAGATTTCACAATGCAAACCCGAAACCTTGTCTCTCATGGATTGATAGTCTGCGTGCCATATGTTCGGGCGAGACTCAACAGTACTCTGGTAGCGTCTAGACAGAGTACAACTGTAGAGCAAACAAACATGATCACTGGAACCCAGTGGAGGTCCGTAAGTAACGTCACCAACAAAATCGAGTGACTTAGCAAATACCAGGTCTAAGATAAACGGTACTTGGGCGTCCATGTACCTAGTGGGGAGGTCAATGAACTGATGCAAATATACTTGGAGGGCAAGTTCAAGCAGATCAGGGCCGAATTTGCCTGACGCTGATTCACAAGAAAGATCTGCCCAGCAAAACTCTGGGAGGTTGAAGTCGCCCATCACCAAACACTTGTTTGCGGACTGGGAGCGAATGAATTCAAGTACCTCTTTGGATACGTTCCCAAGGCTTCTATACACAAGTACAACTGTTACCTGAGCCGAGCTTGTGCTAATAACAGCCGACAGAGCTTCAACTGTTTTGTCTGCTGACTGAAATAAGTAAGTTTTTAAATCATCAAGTCTACAGCTAACTTAAAGAGCGACGCCCCCTCCCTGTCGGCCAGCAGAGCGATCACGTATAAATAGTGCGTAGTTGGGTGGATGTACTTTACCATCCGTGATGTCCTGAGATAGCCACGTTGCAGTGCCTGCAAGTATATCGGGTTGAGACCAATATACATCAGAGCTAACTCGTACACTTTATTCCTTAGGCTGCGCGCATAACTTAACACCCTCTGGAGGTAGTCGTTAGATCCAGACCTGTGTCGTGCGGTACCAGAATGGACAGTGGTAGGGCGAAAAGGAACCACCGGCTGACCACCCGAAAACCCACTAACCGGAGGCCCTGTTCACCGACCGCTCGCCTACTTTTGAGGTCCTTGATGGTCCCCCTTAGCTTCAGCCTATCGGCCAGCGGAAGTTCCGGCTAAACACTATTCTTTGTACCTTACAGCTTTAACGCAAACCGCATGAGAGCGCTGCGCTCCTCTGGGGTAGAGAGTACCACACGAAGTAGCCGCGGTCGAGGGGGTGGTACGTTAACTGAAACGTTCCACAGTCCAATCAGCTTCCTGACAGTAAAGCCTGGAAAACCGGGCGGAAGAAGCTTCGTTACGCACATTTTAAACCATTGAAGGTCGTCCAACATGCGATCAGCAGGAAGGACAGCAGTAGATTCAGCCGCGTTATGGAATATAACGCTACTATCCCTAAAAGAGTCGCCACGACGGGGTGTTTAACCCCACGGCCTTTGATTAGATATTTGGGGCGGGTGGCTTCACAGCTGGTGATGGGACAGTCTTTAGCCCCTCCGATGTGGTAGCTAAGGCGGCGTATGTTTTTCAATGCATTGTCGATGTTTTATTTTTGTTAGGGTCATGGATTCCACCGAGAGGCTTTACGACAGATTTGGTCTGCTTTTTCTTTTTGATAACGGGAGCAGGGTCCAGTGAGTCTATTTAGCTTTGAGCAAAAGCAAGCAAACCTTCAGAATATGCCTTCTCAGTGAGAACCGTGTTTGCTGGCAACTTCGGCTTACAAGTAGTGCGTGTTGGCATCTTCGCCTTCGCACAACCGTCAGACGGTTTGCCAAGTAACGGTACTAGGCTCGTTTCCTGAATCGAGATAATTATAACTCCTTGTTTAGCAAAGAGCTTACGGGGTTTCCGGGCTCTTCTTCGCTTTAATCGAAGGTACCTTTGAACGTGCAACTCGGCGTTTATCAGGGTAGCTTTAGATACGACGTCCGAAGCTGCTTCATTTTTGTGGCCGGTAGCCATCTGGAGCGGTGACATAATGATTGGTGCCACAAGTTGGTCATCAGTGTAGGCGATCAAATTTGCGTTGTTGGACACCGGAAACGTCTTCATGAGCAGATCAACCTTAAAG